ACACACACACACACACACCACTGGCTCCCTAGTCTAGACAAGACGATTAGTATGTTATTTTGGTTTAGTTTGATGGTTTCCATGTGTGTCTCCTGTTTGCTTTCCAACAACAAGCATTCCACTAATGCAGTGAAAACACCTATCTGCATTCTTGGCAGTGTGTAGTTAAAGTACCACAAAGCAATGGCAGGGCTCTTCGGTTGAGACTGGTGTTATTTCTTGATTCTCTCTGTGAAAACATCTTTTCTCTTTCTTATTGAACATCAAAGTACTTATCAAAGGCTTATCTGAAGTGTGTGAGCAATCTGAATTTTCCCAAAGAGAAGCTATGATTTCCCAAGGAAAAGAGAAAGCACCATGAAGATCACAGCCTCGTGGTGTTGTCTCATCTCTTTGAGCTGTGTTTTAAAGCTTTCTAGACTTCGTCTTTTCCTGCAATTTCTCTGATATAATAAATTCCCAGTTATTATGGATCAGGTATCAGGATTCTCTCTTGTAGACATAAATCCCAATACTATCTTAAAATATAAGCTATTTCTAAATTTTAATTGAAATTTAAATATTATTAAAGACGAAATTGAACAAGTATATGCATTCTCACTTAAACAGGTCATTCTAAATATCAGTAATGATCTTAATTTTTTTCACTTGAACCATATTTTTAAAATGTTTTTTAAGATTGTGTAATAGTCATTTTAAAGTTACTACTCATGAATACAATATAAACATGAGGAATAAGAACAAGTCAACTAACTACTGTACTTAATTTAGAGAAGTATTTTTAAAAACCTTGAAATTAAATTAGTTATGATGTAAAAATATTTGTTCATGAAACCACAAGACTCTTTCATTGTTATGGTTTAGATCTTGTTTGATAAAGCAAAGACAGAAGAAACAAAATCAAGTATCTAAACTGATGTCATGTTGATAATGCTTCTATGTATACATGTTAGATTAGGGTCCATTTGTCTAATCCAAGAGCAATAATTCCACCTTATTAAAGTGAAGTAGGGCTCAGGGCTAGGTGATTTATTTAGTCAAGAGTAGCCTGTATGTTAGACACTTGCCCATTTAAGTTTATAGTATCACTTTCTTTATAATAGGCAAGTTATAGAATTAGCTTAGGCATCTGTCAATTGGTGGATGAGGGAAAGTGATATATATATGAATGAAGTTGTATTCGACCAGAAAGGAGAATGAAGTAACATTGTATGAAGGAAACATGGATGCAGCTTGAGGTCCTGATACTTGGAAAATTAACTCAGACTCAGGAAATGAAATGTTGAGCTTCTCTCACTTGTGGATCTTACATTTCATAGAGATACATAAAATCACTTGTGTGTATGTGTGTATGGCAAGAAAGACAGAGGAAGCTTGTCTGAGAGAAGGAAGTGGACTAGTTGTACTGAAGGGTGAAAAATAGAAGTGTGGAAGGGTCCATGTCAAAGTGCTTGATGTAGTTAAATAAAAATGACTTTATTAATTCTGTCACTGTGCAGAATAAATATACACCAATAAAAAAAAGAATAGCCTGTATACCAGTCACATGCTAAGTGCTGGCTCCAGTCTTGGAGATGTATGCTTAGGTGGCTGGGTGGATGAATATATAGATATTCTGACAGGAAATACATAGGTAGATTTTTCTGTCCCTCCTGACAGCTCCCAGACTTATTATTAATTATTAAGACACAGAGACTTATTATTAATTATGAAAGCTCTGCCAATAGTTTAGGCTTCTTTCTAACTAGCTCTTACCACTTAAATTAACCTATTAATTTACTTTCTGTCTCGTGGCTTATTAGCTTTACTCTGCACTGCCCACGCCCCTGCTTCCTCTGGCTTTAGCTGATGACTCTCCACATCTCCACCCTTCTTCTTCTCAGACTCCTCTCTGCCCAGAAAATCCTGCATAGTGATAGGTCATTCAGCTTTTTATTAAACAAATCGGAGTGAAAAATCTTCACAGTGTACAAGAAGATCATTCCACATGAGAAACATAAGTCTATCGATCAAAGAGTATCATCTTAGCACTGACTCCTGTGTCCTGATCTCCAGTGGGGATCATGGCCTGGCTACTCTCACTCTGTCAGGCAGTTATAGGGGATCGCACACTTATTAACACTAAGTCCAAGAGTAGAAGCTAATACTTTGGTACATCTTCTCTATTGACCCACAAAGATCCTTGCACCAAAATGTAAATAAGTCTCTGAAAAGTGGGTTTTAATTCCCTCACTCCATCCTACCTAATGTAAATAATA